GCCTGGGCGACAGAACGAGACTCATCTAAATAAAAAATACATATATATATATATATATATATATATATATAACGGATCAAATTATGTTAGAAATATCGGCACTCGGGGTATCGATATATTTTACAGTAAAATGCATTTTTATCGGAACATTTTGGGGAACAAACTATCTTACATACTGTAATTTTTACAGTTATAATTACCCGAAAATGAATATTATTAACTAAATAAGTATTATTGTAAATGCCACGATATAATATTTTACCGCAAAAATGGATTTTACGGTAAAATGGATCTTGTGGATTTACCGGCACCCAAAGTGCCTTTACTTCATACCGTAATTTGATTCAAAATTATTACAGTGTATCTATATACATATATATAATACTTAAAATTAATAATTTATTTTTGTATAATGAATGTCTTTTAATGAAATTTATTATATTAAAAAAGGAATGTCAAAGCAAAAATCTTCCGGGAAGAGCTGACAGATATGCAACATATTTAAAATCATTTTAATACATTTATTGTCAGAAAAGCTAAAACAAAATAATAATTTCTAAAAATTGAAAATCCTGGTTAAAAAAAAATGTTTGTTAATTAATACGGATCATTAGATAGAAATAATTAGGTTTTAATATCAAAATATCAACACTAAAAATTTCAATAGCGAAGATTATTTTTATATACGTGCTTCGACTGTTACTTTCACAATATAAAAAGATATGTAAACAAAATTTTATTAAAAGTTACTAGATGATAGGGGAATTTCTGATATCGATAAAAGAAACAAGGTTTTTTTATTTAGAAAAACGACTTCACTATGACGTGCTACAAAGTTAATATTTAATTATAAGTTAAAATATATATTTTTTAAGTGATTTTATATGTATTTCGATCAATTTTCTAAAACAAAACGATGAAAATATGCATTTTTTTCAATATTAAATGAGGAGGATATGCTGAATCAGAATGATTATAAACCAAATAATACCTATTTTAAACTTCGTTCGACTTCAGTAATAACTCATAAAAAATTTCCTCTTGAAAATCTCATCTTTCTTCTTTTAAGTTTGATACAGAGTAAAATATTCATATGATATACAATTCTAAAAATTAATGTCTTTAAGTTTGTTTTGTGAATTTTTTTTAAATAAACTGTAAAAATTGCATTCTTTACAAATTTTCAGAAATCATTATTTCAAACAAAGATTTCCTATATTTGAAGTAGTTATTTCACGTATTCTTCAACGTTGTATCTACTTTATATGATTTTGCTTTCACTGATTTGAAAATATACACACAAAAAATATTTGGTGGCAAAGTTAGAAAAAAAAATTTTAAGCTGAAACTAACCAAACTTTGCATGGCATAGTCATTAAACTATCCTCTAATTTTTTAATATTAGATGCAATTTAATGTTTCACTTAAGGAATCAAAATTCGATACATCAATGGAATCAAAATTTGAATAGAATTGTTACAGAAGTATGCTCTTGTTTTTAAAAATAAATGCACATTAGTATTTCTCATAAAATATAAATCAATGGTATTGCGCCAAACTTTGCATAAGATAGTCATAGGACTATCATTTTGCTTTTGAATTTCAGATTGAATTTAATCTTTCTCTTAACATATAAATCGATGAAATATGTCAAAATTTGCATACGCTAGTCATAGAACTTTCCTCTTGCTTTGAATATTAGATACAATTTAATATTTCTCCGAAAATATAAATCAATAGAATGTTCCAAAATTTGCATAGAATAGTCATGAAACAATCAACTTGTTTTTGAATATTAGATACAATCTATTATTTCTCTTTAGATAGCAGCAGATAAAACATTAATCAATGCAAAGCATCAAAATTTGCGTAGTCATAGAACTTTCCTCTTGTTGAATACAATTACAATATACATTTAATACGTCGTGTATACAATTTACCTCTTTTAAGATATAAATCCATAGCATGTGCTGAGTTTAATCAACGTTAGTTCATGTATGATCGGCTGTAATTGGATAAAATGGTTTCCAGTCATGAAAAATTAGATACATTTAAAGATAATAATATATTCTAGTCACTGATTCTCTTAAAGTTAAAAAGAATTGTTTCACATATTTTGATTACTCAAAAGAAAATGTGATTAAAAATATAAATAAGTAAATATGCTTACCTCTGCTGGATATATAGGAGCCATTAAGGAATAACAACTTCCAAGAAATAAATTTCCATAAAAAATAGCCGCTAAAATTTTAAATTTTTTTAGAGTCATCCCACTTTTATTTTGTTTCTCGTGCGGTGAAATATTGTTTCCATTGGCAGTCACTTCATTGGATAACACAGAAAGTTGAGTTTGTTCCACAATACTGTCACTGCTTTGAGCCATCATAAGAAATAAAAGAAGAAGAAAAAGTAGTTAGAGAAACAAAATTAGTTACATCAGTCTTAAATAAGAAATGCCATGTGACTGCCGCACTCAATCGATCTCTTATTCCTCCTTCCTCTTGTACATTCGTGTAAAACCCTTGGCGAGATGCGCTTTATAATGGCTGACTTTGTTGGCGAATTTAAATGCTCATTTGGCGTAAGTTAAGCCCCTGAAATTATTGGTGTCTAGCAGCTTGCATCATAAATTGGAAGCTAGACAATTAGAGGAAACGTTTTTTCTTCCTCTCATCCCTTAAACAAGGAAATTTCTTGTTCATGCAAAATTAAATCGCTTTACTTTTGAATGAAACAAAATAAATGTAAATTGTAAATAACATTTTATTTAAATATTTACCTCTCAGAATATTCTTAAATTTTTATTTCTTTACGGACTAAATTTAGATATTTTTAATCAAATATAGGAATTGAGTTATCATTGTAAAATATTTTGAAAAATTTTATTAAATGCTGATTACAACTAAAAGTAAAGTTTTCCTTTTTGATAAAATATTAAATTTTAAGGAGCGGAAGAGGTTTTTTTTGAGGTACTTATATTCTGTAATAACGCAATCGAGATATTAATATTTTGTTATTACAATTTTGAGGTATTAATATTCTATTATAACGCATTCTAGATATTCAAGTTTTATCATAATACATTCGATCATTTACGCACATTCCAAAATTTTTGGCAAACACCTATGCATTGTGCAGGATACTCTACCCTTAAATAGTTTTCGTTAAACCGAGCTTTATTGAATTAAAATGCTTAATACTTTCAGGGATGCTAATATACATATTAATCCAGGGGCGTGCTTACGGGTTGTTTAAAAGACCTGGGCGAAACATTGGGGCATTTTATCTTGGTTAATAAAAGTCGTTCTTTGTTTGACTAAGTAAATATTAAACTACTTTTAATTTCAGTTAGGTTTTCTTTAAAATTGTTTTCACTTTCAACGATAAAAACTCCAACAAAATATAACAACGACATTAATACTACAACTAAATGATTTTAAAAAAATCATGCCAACCCTCTTTTCATTTTTCTTGACATTTCCCGCTGCAATTTTAGAGATTACCCTCTACACGCAAACACTCACAAAGCGGCAATGATTGAAATTTTTAATACAATTAATTTAGATGACATAAAAGTTGACAAAATATTTTAAACTATTATTTTAAAAGTTACACTCCTTTCATAAAGGTACATTAACTGAAATGAAATTAGATACATTTGGAAATACATGTTACGATAACTTGTGTAAATATCCAAGGAATAGTGAGAATATATCCAAGATATAGCGAATGTAAAGAAACCCTTGTCAGTCCTGAATTTATGGCGGCCCTAAATTTGGGCGGTCGCCCAATTCGCCCACCCCTATGAACGGCACTGTATTAATTAATCAAACGATAATTTTAGTTGCAAGATCAGCCGCAAAAGATACATTTTTATGGATGAACCCTCAAATTATTAAGCTACAACTCCGTCTAATCACTTGATCTGTCCATTCCTTCAATGTTATTCGATTCCTTTGCGCTTCTTCAGTAACGTCTTACAACGCAAAAAACTTTTTGCATCCATTTATGCAATTTAATTACAAGGAGATATTCTCCAGCAAAAAAAATTAAAACCTATATATTATTATTATTTTTATTTTTTAAAAAAAGTATTTAAGCATTCTAAATTGTTGTGCACAAAAATAAATATTAAATATAAATATACTCTCTTAAACAATATAATTTCAAGTGACAAAATTATTTAAATTTGATCAGAATTGATTACACAGTTTTTAAGAAATGAAAATCTAAAAACGCCATTTTTTGAAATAACATTACTCAGATACTATTTGATAGATTGCATTTAAATCTGATCGTTTTCTCTATCGGGATCTTCCAGCTTTAATGCTCCTCTAACGTGTTACTCCAATGTCATTCAAAATTTAGTCTACATCCATCTAAAACATGGTCTGCTAGCTAACCTTTATTTTTCTGTTTTTTTTATATTTTTTTTAATTCTTTTTCATTTTTTTTTCCTTCTTTTAAGAATGAAAGTTACTTTGTTTGCGATCATTATTAAATGAAATAATTATGAAAAGAATGTCTTTTTTTGTAACTGTATGCGAAGTTTTTTTTTAATTCGCTAAAAATGTTTCAGTACTTTAAGAAATTGATTAAAAAAGGGGGGAGTAACATTAAAAAGTTCAAACTTTCTGCGGCTCTCCTCTAGTCACTGTGTTAGAACTATAGCGACTATATTTTCGACATTGTGGCTACTTCACCTCCCTCTCCCCGATATTTTGAAAGAAAATATCTGAATCCAAGAAAAAAATATATTAATCCAGACAAGTACATTATGTCCTATTTCCTACTTTAATTTATCTTCTGCATTCATAAACTAGCTCACTAAAGTTCTATTCTTGAACCATGAAAATTGCATCTGAATAAGTATAAATCCATAAATAAGATCAAAAATTACTCAGGTGGTAAAATTTTTTTCCGCACTATAGAGTGCGCAAAAAAATTAACGGACCACATTGAATTACTTTTAATCTAATGATTGGATATTCAGGTTCTAGGAAACAATCGTAATAGTTCAAGAGTTTGATCTCAAATTAGTGCAATCTATACCTTAAGTTACGAAATCAGACACAAAAACGCACTTTCTCAGAATAAACATGCTTGTTTTTAGACGAACACGGATTTCTGATCCCCAAAATATAGAGGGTATTAGCAATCTGGGAAATATGTCAATTGGCTTAAAACGTTCTTGAGATATGGCGAAAAACGCAAAAAGTAAAATTAACATTAAGGGGTAAAAATGTTGGACCACTCACCTGTCCAAACTATTGGGACCATATTTCCAGATTGCGGCTACAGCCTATGTTTTGGGGATCAAACATCCGAAAGCGTCAAAAAAAAAGTATGTTTATTCAGAGAAAGTGCGTTTTATCTGATTTCGTAACTTAAAATATTGTCTGCACTTTTTATTTAGCACATTTGAGCATATTTGACTCCCTCGAACCATTAGTATTGAGCTCTAGAACATGAATATCCGACCATTAGATCGAAAGATATTCAGGGTGGAACGTTTTTTCTTTCTTTTTTTGCACACTGTACATATAGTAATAAAATATAAATGCAAGTATATTTTATCAATAGATTATAATAATACTATAGATTTTAAATTATGGTAGTTTTGTGTTATTAAATATGTGTAATCTATTTTCTATTTAGTTATTTTCTATATTTTGTACTACATGATCGTATTTAACAATAACAATCTATTTAATAAGTGTCGGATTTTGTATTTTTCAAACCGATATACTTTTTTATACTTTCAGAATTGTTTGAATAAAATTCTTGCAGCAGTTTTATCTAAAAGGATCTTGTATTCTTAAGATTACCCTGTGCATGAAGTAATGAAATAATATAAATAATCATTTAGTTTCAAGTAATATAAAATTTTGCAGATAAAGTTTATACTGATTTTGGCTTTTAAGCGAAATCCATTTTTATCCAAATTTTAATCCAAAAAAAAAACAAATTTAATTATCTTTATTTTCACAATGTATTTCGAAGAGGAAAATTTAATTTCGGTTCAATAAATAATTTTTTGATTTTGAATTTTAATCAAGATTCGTTCGACCCTTTAAATATATTAAAAAGTGGTATCGATTTTGCAAATTAAAATAATCAATTTTCTTTTCAAAGATTTCCCTTTTAAATATTCATAAACCTCAGTTATCACAATTAGATTTTTTTTTTAGTTATTAAAACGTTGTAGTAATTATTAACTCTATAGACTATATCTTATGTTCTTGGCTTTCGTTACCTTATTTTAAATTTCTAAAGATTGTACGAATCTTGATAGTATTTTGCCAATTCTTTTAGCATTGTTCACGAATTTTACATTTTTATCGTTTCTCATTGTTTAGTGAAGAGTTTCCAAATGAATTGAATAAAAGGGACATATTTTTGTATTATACCACACCAACTCAAATTTATTGACAGTTTTCAAAAGATGGGAGCATAACACAGATGATAAACTTCAAGCTCTGACATCAATTAAGTTTAAATTTAATTCAGAGTAAAAATGTTTGAAAAAATTTGCAATTCTATCTAATAACAGGAAGTAACTTAATTTATTACAAAATTTTTCCATAAATAACTTTGAAAATATTTTTTCTAACCTAAGGGGGGATTTCAGACATTCATGATGTTAGCCGAGACAATGCAATACCATTTTTTTTAATATATAGTCTGGATGTTCATAAACGAAAATAAGTCTGTAAAGTTTAAATAGGGTGGTTACCTGGTAATATCATTAGAAAATGACAACAATAAATAAATTATACTTTCCTGTATGAAAGATTTGGAAAATATAAATTAGTGTTTTAGTGCATACCCCAAAAAAATAAGTACAAACCACGCTTTTACTTTAACAGAAAAACTATCAAATAAATAAGAATGGATAAACAAAATGAAGTACTTTTCATTTAATTATTCAATTTAACGCATATCCAAAAAAGCAACGTAGGAACCGCTCTATTACTTAACAGAAGAATGTTTAAATAAATAAGGATATATAAATGAAATGAAGTACTTTAAACTTATTTATTAACTCATTCTTAAAATAATTATTCAATTTAATGCATGTACAAAAAAGTAACTTAGAAACCGTGCTTTTACTTTATCAGAAAAAACATTAGATAAATAAGGATGGATAAATAAAATTACATATTTTAAAACTTATTCATTTTTAAAGTAATTATTCTAGTATTTAAGTATTTTCTTATGTTTTCATGAAAAATTTCAGCTGCAGGAGGATATTTTTTATTCGTGATCTTTAGCATTGTCTAAGTCATGTAACGAATGCAACGCCGTTAATTTTTCCATAAATTTAAAGATAATTTGATGACAGAGGAGCAGCTATAGTTTACAGCGCCTGGAGGCAAGCTCAGTATTTACGTCCCCTTGCATAATGATAAGAGACTTATAAGAGTCTTTCGGGACTTTAAAATGATTGTATAAAACCCATCACACCTGCCAAGATTTTTCAACTTTAAGTAAAATACTTTTTTGAAACAATGCAACTCGATAGTTTAATTAATTTTTGAGTCAGTTTAAAAAGTTAACAGTGTACGTTGCTAATCTAGTTTCTATTTCTCTTAGATATTTTTGATCGCGTTTACTGAGTTTTATTGATTAATAAACGTTGATTCTAAGGGCATATTTAATTCAATATAATAGGTGGAAGGGAAAGTATTGTCGTTTCGGCGCATTAAATATTCGTCTCAATAACCAATTCATTTTTTTTTTCGATTTGTGTTCAATCCGGCATTGAAAATTTGTTGCAACGAGGGTGAATATATTATTGATTGAAAATAAAATCTTAATAACAAATATCAAATGCACCGAAACGACATTACTTTCCGGTCCCCCAAATATTACCAATTTGTTATAAATATTTTTTTGAAGAAAAATCGTTAAGTAAAGCAAACTACAATGATAGTAATGGACATCTTCTCCAATTTCTCTGTAAATCTGATAAAAATTTGAAAAAGTTATAATGCTCTTAGCCCTTTGACGCAAGCATATTTTTCCAGCTTTTTTCCCTATTTTGTATTAACTTACGTCAAAATAAATGAAAAATATTATAGTTAACATTTTAATAATTTATGGTTATGAAAAACACCATGAAAAATCACTGTCTTTTTCTGCGTTAAAAGTTAAAGCTTCCAAAGATGGCTCACTTCCAAACAATAATTTTTGAAATGTATGCTTACTTGCAGTTATTTAGATCTAAGAGAACCAGTTATTTATCATTAGAACTTTTTTAATTTACATCCGCAATTATTGATAAATTTTTGAATATGAATGAATAGGAAAAAACTTTCCAATTACGTTTTTTGAATTTATACTTTAATACAAATATAATACAGATAATCTAACAGATTATTTTAGTAACTATTAAACTATTTTTTATAATAAAAAAGTACCAAAATATATGTTTGCTTGTAATTAGATCTTCAGAAAATATATATGTAAAAGAGACACTGGTATACCATCTGCGTAAAAGGGTTAATTTGCAAACCAAACTGATAATTTAAAAAAAAGATAGTTTAAAAAAAAAGCAGTTTATTCTGGAATTTCAATTATTTTTCCGAAATTGTATGCTTCTCTAAGGATGAGCCCGTGGACAGATGTTCCCCTTGTCCCCCCCCCCACTAGCTACGCCACTGTTTGATCTAAATTTTTACGAAAAAGTCATTAGAGTTTATTTTATTTACATGGAAAAGTACATTGCATATGTAGGAAATATTTAGTGCATATGACATCAATATCAATCGAATTCCAAATTAGCTGCTCTTAACATTATTGGTCCCGCCTTTAGAAGTACCCATGTCAGTATGAGCATGTACGAAATAAAATTCTAATGCTTCATCCACTAAACATTTCATATAGGGCACTAAAACACATTATACTTGAAATTTATCCTAATCAAGGAAGTATGATAAAATTACTTTATCTTATTGCTAATCTCCGTGTTGATATTGAAATTACAACTGGGGCGTTGAGATAAAATATTTTATTGGCGTCCGTAATAAACTTAAAGTCATATCATACGTACGTATTACAAATATTTTATAGCAGTTTGCTGAGATCTTGATTCTTACGTCTCTTCTTGATTTATAGTTATAACATCTAAATGCCTTATCATATCATGAAATATATTTTTGATAAAGATAATTTTTCTCTTACAAATGTTTTGATTTATGTTGTATTGCAGTTTTTGACCTCGACTCTTAAAATTAGGAAACTCTCGTTGTATATTTCAATTAATGTTTTTTCGTAATTATCGTGAAAATTAAAGTATAAGAAAAATTTGATTAATATCGATATAATATGAAACACTAATGCATATACTTTGAAAATAAAACAATGAAATTTCTTCTCTACGTCGACAACGTCGTACTGAATATTGAAATATCAAGCGAGTGAGCATTTATAAGCATGAATGCTAGCATTCATATGAAGCATGAAGGTGCACGACTACAGTCTAAAAAAAAAAAAGAGTTTCTCAAAATTGAGCAAAACTGTGTCAAAATAGCTGCAGAACAAATAATAATCTAATGTGAAATCCCTATGTATTTAAAATTGAAACAGTATATACCCACTTTTGAGCAAAATATATAGAGAAGGAGAAATGTGTGAGAATTGTTTGCATCCAGCAGGATTCAATTCAAGGACCTCCGGAATCGTGGTTAGGAACCAACAGAGTAATTTCCAATTTCAATGGGGAAAAGGTTTACAATTTTGAATATTATCGGAAATTTTAATTTCTTTATTTCGCTATATCTTAAAAACTTTAAAGTGAATCGAGTGCACGTCATGATGCGTCATTGCGGTGGCCACTATATACCGCTCCTCCCTGGACTGGACTGCACAATAATAATGGTTAGAGCATCCTACTAAATACGAACCTGGATGTTCTTGGTTCGAATCCTTCGGGCAGCCAAGGAGCTCCTCTCTCACACATTTCTACCTCCTCATGCATTTTTCTCATAAATGAATAAATGCTGTTTTAATTTTGAAAACCTGAGTTTTTTTTTTTCAAATTCGACTATTATTTGTTTTGAAGCTATTTTGAAACATTTTTGAAAAACCCTTTTTTACAGCGTACCTCTTTACGCTAATTTTGACTAAGTAAAAAGTATATATTTCTTTATCTCTCTGAAACCATTTAATCTTATATCTATCATAAATAAAATTGAGCTTATAATATTTTGAAAAAATATATACTCTTGGCTACAACACCATGGCTAGTCTGTTTAACCAAAAACAGTGAGTCCCTCGTAATAAAGCCATCTTGGCTTGTTGTTGAACGCAAAGCAGCACGCATATTAAGTAAGTTGATATCCAAGTACATATTTACAATGAATAACTCACTCCCTGCCCCACCTAGACAGGAAAAAATCGTGGAATAGGTAAAAAAGGAGAAGGAAAAGTTTCCCATCGAAATAAAGTTACTTCTGATTATAACCAAAATACCCACCACATTTAAATATGAATTGAAAAATGCTATGTTGCTTACCATTTACCTATATCTAAAGGACAGTAACATCAATATTATACTATTTTACACGATGGTAGCCTTGAAATGTGGACAGACTGAAACTGCCCTTTTGTGGCATATACAACTCTACTGATGATAGACCACACGTTTTTGGGGGATTGAAGTTATTAGAAAGAACGGGCCATTTAGGACAAGCACACTGTTATCGAAAAACCATTCGGTTGCCATCATTGAATAAAAGACGTGAATCACGGGACTCGCATTTCACTTGCTTCGTATTCACAATTCTCAGTAAAAATTTTTATCTTATTTTATTTTATAGCCGTCGTTGAACAGCCGACACAATTTTCGGATTTACGACTACTAATGTTCAACTTCGTAGCCTTGTAATTTTGAACCCAATCCAGAAGACAAGAGAACTTCTGAATCAAGTATTGAGAGAAATTTGCCTTCGTGGACGACTTTTAGATGGAACTAACCCGCATTTGCGTAACATTGAGAGGAAGACCAGGTGAACCTTCCACGGTTAGCCTGATCCACGATCCGTCTACCACTGAGGATATTTCACGTCATCACTGTGGTCGGTAAAAGCCGGATGTGGGATTCGTATCGATTGGGGTCCGAACCCGGTTTGCCTCGTTGGAAGGCGAACGCTCTATCCCCTGAGCCATCGCGGATCGCTATATTCGTATTGACTTTTCTATTATGTTATTTCGTTCTTAATTTTTATTAAGTTCAAAGAAAAAACTCACCATTTATCATTCAGCTCAGAAAATTGCTCTCTGTTAAATGAATTTGTAAAGTTTTCTATAAATTTTGTTGACTTACTGTAATTGATGCTCAAATAAATTAAAAATTCCTTACCTAAGTGGATTCTCTCTGAAACACAAACTTTTATTGAATTAATTAAATTTAAGAATTCGCTAGAAATGATTCAATTTACAAAAAAAATCATTTAATTCTTTTGAATTTACCACCTAAAAAGATGTCTTTCGAAATTTATTTCTGAAATAAAATAGTCAAATTTTATAAATTGTTAGAAAGCATGTAAATAAAAAAAAATTAGCTTTCTCAATACTTTATGCTTAACGCCGAAATAAATAAACAATTTAATTGATCCCCTAAGGGAAGATTTTTTAAAATGATTCTTAGATTGAATTAAACAATTTTAATTAGTCGTTGAAATTCCTTCAATCACAAAACAAACTCAGTCTACTTTGGGCTTGATACCTAAATAATTAAACAGTTTCATTTCCTACCTAAGAGAATGAGTTTCAATTGCTACCTTTTTAAAAAATTCGTACTATAAATTATTAAAGTTTGATGATTAGTTAGAAATCATATGATTATAACACAAATGATAGCTTAATGAATCCTATTTGTTTAATACCCATAAAAATGAATAATTTAATTTGTTGCATGAACTATTTAAATTTAATTATTCATTCGAAATCATTCAATTACAAAACAAACTCAGTCAATGATTTGTGCTTAGTGCCGAAAAAAAATAAACAATATATTTGCTACCTAAGTCTATGCTTTAAAAACTGTTTTTTAAAAGCAATTAGTTACATTCAATAATTCGATAGAAATCATATAACTAAAAAATAATAACTAAAATTATACTTTGTGCTTAATGTCCATATAAAAGAACGATTTAATTTGCTACCTAAGAGAATGCTTTTCAAATAATTCTTAGATTAAATTAATTTAATAACTCGCTAAAAACCATTCAATTACAAAACAAACTCATTCAATACTTGTTGCTTGATTCCCAAATAAGTAAACAATTTCATTATTTATTTATTTGGCATCAAGCACAATTAAAGCAATTAGGTAGTATAATTATTTATTTGGGCTGGGATAGCCTGTTTGGTAGGGTACTAGACTCACGTTCGGGAGAACGAGAGTTCGAAACCAGTCGACCGAAGACTCTCCGTGTAGTAAATGGTGAATGGTGAAAAGTTAAATCTGTCGGGTCCCAAAGTCCTCCATGTTCCCATAACAAAGTATACCTCTGGGGGTACTGGGTTGGAGATATATCGTTCTCGGGTTCAGGTCAAAATTACGACCTGTGGATGAATAAATGGTGACATGTGAGTGGGGCAGAAGTCGAATTCTTGGCCATAGATGACGCTACTAGAAAGCAAGAACACCGCCACTGCCTTAATGGCCTACGACAATAACAACAATTATTTATTTGACATCAATTGTAATTAGATAGCAAGTTTAATTTTCTGCTTCAGCGAATGCTTTTTGAAACAATCTTTAGATTAAATTAATTTAATTTAAAAATTCGTAAGAAATTATATAATTAAAAACATTTATATCTTAGACAATACTTTGGTGTATAGTTGCCACCATTTTTGGCGTTGATGTAGACTAAATAAATTTTTAAGTATAGAACTGTAGTTATCGTGCAAAATATTATGTAAGATAGACAAAATAACAATTGTTTGAAGGAATTAGTGCAAATATATTACTAAAAATCTGCTTGTTTTTTAAATGAAATGCTTTTGCAATGATGCCATAAATTGATTTTAATGCACATGAAAATACAGAACTGTAGTTATCATGCAAAACATTATATAAAATTCACACAAAATAACAATTGTTTGAAGGCATTAGTGCAGATATATTACTTAAAATCTGCTTGTTTTTTAAATGATTTGTTTTGCAATGATACCATAAATTGTTTCTAATGGGCATGAAAATATGTATTGTCAGTAAATAAATAAATAAAAAATGAATAAATGAAGAATAAATAAATAAAAAATGAATAAATAAAAAGTAAATAAATAAAAATGAATGAATAAAAAATAGATAAATAAAATGAATAAACAAAAAAAATAAAATTAAAAAAAATTTATTAATTAATTAAAATATAACAGTGAAAAAGTAAATTAAAATTTGTGACTGCATTCACTGTAAAACATTTTAGTTTACCTCAACACCAAAAACGGTGGCAACTATACGTAAAAATTTTTTACAGTGAGGATAAAGTGGGTCTTAGTAATCCGGATATGATACTTAAAATAAATAACAAATAAAGAAATTAAGTTAATAAATATAAACCTAAATACAAAATATTAGTTAATACTTAATTATAATAATTAAGACCCAAAATCCAATGCACCTAATTCTGAGCAATCTAATACATATTTTTTTTCTTTTATGAATTATAAATAGTATTTTAAATGATAGAAATCTTAAACTTACTTTCTATCAAGACTGAAAATGTTTTACTTTAAAAAAAAAAGAAAATTAAATTTTAAAACGCTTAAAAAATATTAACTTTTCATTGAAACAGTAACGAAAGTTACTTTCACAGTAAAATTTAACAATGCGAACGGAAAATAAATTTTTGAACTCTCAAGCTCTATAATTACAACATAAGTTATCGAGAAAATCAATTCTTGCCTAAATCAGCAAAAAAAATGCTATGTTGCAACAAAAACATGAAATGAAACAAACAAGTTACTTTGTTATTTACCAAACTTCAAGGAAGTGAAAGACCACTAAAACAAATATACCTAAACATTTTTATTAAAACCCTTAAAAGAGATTTTGTCATTCACATCTGAAAAATATTAGGCAGTAACGACTAATTTTATGGCATTGATATTTTCACACAGTAGGCCCTAAAATGATGCTAAATAAAAGAAATCTAAAAAATTATTTTACATTTTATATTTTTTAATTTGATACTTTATATGGCGTGTCCCAAAACAATGGATATTCAAAGGAATCTAGGAAAAACTATATCGACATTTTATACAGTGTGTCCCAAAATGATGAATGACAGAAGGAATCTAAAATATTATATTGATATTTTATATAAAGTGTCCAAAAATGAGAAATAAAAAAATTAAGCAAAAAAGTTTTTTGATATTTATATATAGAGTGTGCTAAATTGAGAGATAACTGAAGGAATCTAAAAAAAGTGGATTGATTTTTGTACACTGTGTCCCAAAAGGATAAATAATAAAATAAATCTAAAATAATATATCATACAAATATATTTAAACTGTCAAATGTTTTTCAAATGATTACTTTATGCAAATATATACATTTTCAAAATGTATTTGTTGTATGAATATATACGATTATTCATAAGAGATAAGATATACTTGGAAGAGAGGTAAAGCATCCCATGACCGAAAATGCCCTACGCCATAATGGCTGCGTCCTTATTTTGAACTCAGCACGATTAGTTAGTCTCCAAATCATTAAATTACGATAAAATAGCTACCTCTGGGCCTATATGAATGCAATTTTTGTCAATAATTATTAGAAAACGTAAAATTAACATAAAATCAAGATATTTTTAATGCGCAGATAGTTTCAAATGCGCACGAACAGCCAATTCATACTAAAGAGGTGGTTCTATCAGCATAGGATGACATAACCGGTCTTGAGTTCCTATGCAATTCATTGTCCTTATGGTGTGGCATATATTCCTTTTAAGTTTTGCTCATTACAACAGAACGTTTATTTACTTATTTTATTAATACAAAAGCATACAAATTTAATAAACGCGAAAAAATTTAAGAAGTAACAACAATTCTTACGAATTTTTGGACATTCCGAATTTTATGATTCAAAGTTTTAAAAATTAAATGTTTATATGTTACAATTGTTGTATCTTTGAGATGATAGAACATGGTGGTGAAGATGTAAAAATTGTTAGCTGCGCTCCATTTTCTTCAACAATGGGTTTTATTGGAATATGTTTTTTTTGGGAGGGGGGGGGAGTTGTAGAACAGTACCTCTAAAATATCATGCAAGTAGTCGTACAGGTTGATTTTGCCACCAGAATTTTACATTAGTAAACTTACCGGTTATTTTTGCTTTTAAAATATCTTGTTTATAGATACACTGATTCTTTTTTCAAAAAAATTTAAACAATTGCTTATGTCTGTGCAAATAAAGAAATTTTAAGAAATAAATAAATAAAAAAAATTTTAAAAAATGTTTCGGCAAAAATTCACGTTTTTGAGAATAAATAACTTTATTTTCTACCGAACAAGATCTTCCTTCAACTGCGTTTTATAATGAGAGACGTTATTTTTGAATACACTGAAAATTTTATCAAAATTTATATTTAAAAAATTTGAAAATTTCTAGTAGTGAAGTTTCCGTTCACTGCAAAAAATTTTGTTAGTTAAATTTTTGTACATTATATCTCTGTTGAAAGAATTATTTCATTAAATTTAGTTTTTAGACATGTTTTTTTTCATATAAAAGGTATGATAATAGTGATACAAATTTTTAAAAAGAATAAAAAAATAAAACTTTTTTTTTCAAACCCATGATTACCTTTTAAATATCAGAGGAGTTTTTTGACCTGCACCTTTCACACTAGTTTTGGTTGTTAGAGAAAATCTTCTAACAGCTTCCTCAACAGAATTTAAAGCAGAAGCAGCTTCCATTTCTTCCTTTTATGTATGCTATGACGTGCTCATATGGACTTTATTATCTGATTAGCTTCAACAGATGTTATGATGATCCTAATGAAAAGAAAACTTAAATTATAAATTCTATGAAATAAAAAAAATGATTAACTTTGAATTATAATGACTAAAATTTCAAGTATTATGAAATTATCAAATAGGATTGACTCGTGTAACTTATTTTCTTTTTGTTTTATTCTGAATTAAAGCTATCTTACTTTAAGCACTTATAAACATGTGGTTCATTCTCACTAAATACTTTAAAATTTATATTTTGAATTTTATCTTATTCATCCTTTTAATATTTATTTCTCACAATGTATCATTCTTAATGTTTAATTTCATATAAATATTTACAGTGTGTTACAAAATTATAAGACCACCCCGAATGTCCCTCATTTTTATAATACACTGCATAAATGGATAATTTTAAAACAGTGAAGTAACTGAAATTAGTTATATTTTCTCAAATTAACCAAAAAGTGAAAAAATTGATTAATTTCTTAAAATCTGAGTGTTACGTAAATCTAAGACCACCTATTTCTTTTTTCAAAATCATTTGAGTTTTCAAAATATTTTTATTTTTCTTTGAAACCCATATATAATCTGTAACTTTGCATCTCCCAAAATACAAACGATAAAGAAAATAAGAATTTAATTTCATTGTTTTCATCAGAAAATTCACAATGCCACACGGAAAAGAATTGTCTGAGCTAGAAGTTCAAAAAATGTGGTTTTTAAAGGCTCTGGAAAATCGGAACCTGAAATACGTAAGTTAAATAAACGTTCTAAAACTACTGTGCATAATATTTTAAGCATAAAAGAGTATTATGAAAGATCCGGTACGAAGCGTAAATTATCTACTCGGGATAATGGGTGCATTTTCAAACTTGCAAGGAAACAGAACTTGTCTGCTTGCTAAATAACTCAGCAGGCAAGTAAAATGATCTTCCATACAATGATCTGGGGCACTTTCATATCAAATTCGAATGTTTTCTTCGAAAATTAAGAACAAAGCCAAGACCGTTAAAGCATCATAAAGAAAAGAGGCTAAAGTGGACAAAAGAGGTCATGTCCTGGGATGCTATTCGAAAAAATATTATTTTTCTGTCAAAAAGAAGTTCAATTTGGGTGTCCCAGATTGTAAGAATTAATACTGGCATGATTTGCGAACAAAACATAGTGATTTCTTCGGTGGACAAATCAGTGGTGGCTTTGTGATGGTGTAGTGAACTTTGCTTATGAGGATAAGTGTGACTTGCAGCGAATTTCTGGAAAAATGTACTCTAGTTGTTAACAACAACTACTTTTCCAACACCTTATACTCTTTGATCCTTGGTCAGACTGGAAATTTCAGCAGGACAATTGACCAAATCATGTGTTCCAATCAACTAGATATTAGTTTCATTAAGAAAGAATGGATGTTCTAAGATAGCCAAGCCGTAGTTTCGATTTTTGTAGCGCAGGAAACTTGTAGGCTACTTGGCAAGAGTATTGCATGCAAATAGCCATCAATATGTTTCTGTATACGACCTGTAAATAGCCATCATAGATGAATAGGGCACAATTCGTGAAACTTTGCTCGAAAATTTGATTGAGTCGGGGGGAAATCGAGTTTTTGAAGTTATTTTGAAAAATCGTGGATCAGCATTTTTTAGTTTTGTAATAAAAGTTCATTTTGGATTCACGTATGCAAGAAAAAACAAGTTTTTCCCTTCACTCACTATGAGTACCATATTATTCCCTCGACCTACTTAATGAACCAATTGTAATTACTAACGTTTCCCTTTTGCATGTGATATAAAAGGTCATCAGGATTTGTTTGTAAATTTTTTTCCCCAGGCTTCTGAAAGTGAAGCACTTCGTTTTTGGATTATTCGATCTCTTGCTCTCCATGCTATACATATACAGTGGAGCATCGTTTATACGACGATCACTTATACGACGTTTACATTTATACGACGTTTTAGTGTGGTCCCAAATCATTCCTATTCATTTTAATATAAAAATATATCGTTTATACGACGCACAGAATCGGTTATACGTCGGTTTTTAGATTTTGTTCACGTTTATTTAATTTTTTATTTTTNAAACATGTTCAAAATGATTGAGACTCGAAGACCATTCATACCGCGAATATCCTCGACATTTAGAAAATCCCCAACAAAGTGAGCTCTGTGTGGTCGCGCTTTATAGTCCTTAAAAAGGAGTCTAGGCCAATAGCACGCAGGAAACCAAATTGCTGACAAGCAGTAGTGTATAATGCGCAAAAAAGAATTTAAAAATAATACTGACCAATCCGAATAACGTTTGGTCAAATGATCGGATCTGATCTTCATGTTTTAGGACTCACTTGTAATGTTTCCAGGGAATGACCTCAAATATGTTATTTCATTGGAGCAGACGATATTTTAAGTTACGAAATCAGACACAAAGACGTACTTTCTCTGAATGAACATACCTTTTTTTCAACGGATTCGGATATCTGACCACCAAAATATCGGGGTTGGCCTCAATCTGGAAATATGGTTCGAATAGTTTTATCAGGAGAGCGATCCAAAGTTTGGACCACTAAATGTTAATTTAACATTTTGCGTATCTGGACATATCTCGAGAACTTTTTAAGCAAATTGAAAAACTTTTGCACACAATTATAAAATCACTTCGTTTATCCAAAGGCAATTCCATGCAAAGAAAAAAATTTGTAAATGATGTAAAAAATTTTAAAGTATACAAATTTTTTGCATCATTTTAATGTATGTAATTGTATATGATAAAATACAAAATTCGAGTGAAATCGGTTGAAAGAATCTTGAGAAATCGAATTTTAAATATACGACTTCTTTAAAATTTGATTTCTTCGGAACTATTCAACTGCTTTCGCTCAAATTCTGTATTTTGTAGAAAATTATGTAGAAAATTTTATACCTTACAATTTAATATTTTTTTAACTATTATTTAATAAAATAACAAAAAATTAAAAATATTTCCAAAAAATATTCTCTGCATGGAACTATCTTTGGATAAACGAATTCTATAATTGTGTGAAAAAATATTCGCTTAAAAGTTCTCAAGTTATGACAAAATACCCAAAAAGTAAAATTAACATTAAAAAGTTCAAACTTTGGATCGCTCTCATGACCAAACTATGGGAACCATATTTTCCATATTTCTGCTACCCCCTATATTTTGGGGGTTTAGAAATCCGAGTAAGTTGAAAAAAAGGGATATTTATTCAGAGAAAGTACGTTTTTGTGTATGATTTCGCCTAAACCTATTAATTAGCATATTCGAGCTTTCACACTCGAACTATTACGAATGGGTCCTACTAGAACGTGAAGTATCATTTAATCAAAAATTATTCAAGTTAGTCCTTTTTTTTTTCTTTTTTTTTTTGCGAACTGCCCGATTGCCCAACATTATGTCATCCTAGACAAAGAAATCCATCGATTTCTTTTACGTAATAAAGATGATTGCGAGCTCTACGTTTTCTCAAGATGCAGATTCGACGAAAATGACTCTGTGAGATGAATCTCGAATTATCACTGAAAAGAACACGCCCCCATTCTTGCTAAATGCAAGACAGTTGTGATTTGATCCACAATAGCCGACCCTTCTTTTCAATACAGTCAAAGGGTCAGCGCGATAGGTAACAGTCTGACTGAAGAGTAAAGGCGGCCTGTGCGAATTTTGTAATAAGTTTTAAATTGTTCCAAACATTTTGTTTAATTTTATTGAATATTTTTAACGTTATAGCAAAAAAAAAATGTGAAACAAAAAAATTTGTTTTCATAAAAATGTCCATATCTTCATAAATATCAAAGCTAGGTTTACGAAATTTTGTGCAATTATTGCATATAATTACCAAAATAATTGTTGCAAGTTACAAATTTATTCCTACGTTTTTTGGCATAGGGTGTTCAAAAACACTATTTTCCGTTTGTAATTTATAGTCGGTCACTCAAACCTCTAAAAGCTTTAAACAAACTTCATTGAGAAATCCCATGATATAAAATTTTCTGAAGTAATAAAATGATTCTTTAATTATTACTTAGGAAATATTAAAAAATGTAAGAAATGTTTCCACTATTTTGTCCAACCCCTGCCCATATATATATCAACTTTTTCAATAATATTCAAAGAAAAATTGAAACATTTTGCTAATAAAATACTTTTGAAAAATTTAATAAATAAAAGTTACAAAACAAAATTTTTAAAGCAATCTGTTCGTAATATTATTCAATTTTTTAATAAATATGTCGTACTAATTCTTATATCGCTTCATAAAATTGACAAGAAAATATATAGTTGAATACTTTGTTGTTTAAACAATATTCTCATGGTAGTTACGTCTGTCAATAAATAATTATCCCCAAGTCACAATACTTCTTCCAATCTAGCTATCAATCTATGAACATCTTGGCTGTAGCTAAGGACTTAACCCAGGAAGTAAAGTGGGGTGATATTCGGCGACTAATCGTCAGAGACACTGTTCTGTTACGTTTCGATAACCTCTGTGGTAGACCGATCATGGGTTAGAGTCCCTCTGCCGTCAAGCTAACCGTGGAAGGTTCTCTTGGTCTTCCTCTCCTTGTAACGCAAATGCGGGTTAGTTCCACCAAAAAAGTCCTGCATGAACTCAAATTTCTCCCAATACTTGATCCAGGAGTTAACTTGTCTTCAGGATTGGGTTCAAAATAACAGGGCTATGGAGTTGAACATTAGTAGTCGTAAACCCAAAAATTGGGTCGGCTGTTCAACGACGGTTATAAAACAAAATAAAAACCCTCTGCTCTCAGAACCGTGATGGCTCAGGGGATACAGCGTTCGCCTTCCAATGAGGTGAACCGGGTTCAAATCCCCAGCGAAGGCTGGTCGAAACGAATCCGCATCCGGCTTGCCCCGACCACATTGCTGACGTTAAATATCCTCATTTGTAGACGGATCATGTTTTAGAGTCACTTTGCCGTCAGGCTAACCGTAGAAGGTTCTCGTGGTCTTCCTCTCCATATAACGCAAATGCAGGTTAGTTCCATCAAAAAAATCCTCCACGAAGATAAATTTCTCCCAATACTTGATCCAAGAGTTCCCTTTTCTTCCGGATTGGGTTCAAAATTACAAGGCTATGGAGTTGAAGATTAGTTGTCGTAAACCCAAAAATATTGGGTCAGCTGTTCAACGACGGTTATAAAATAAAACCTCTGCCCTCAGATTAAGGTAGAACAGGCGAACATAGCAGTAGAACCGGCTCAACATCCGGCTTGTGCTATTCAATCCTCAATTCAAATCAATTGAAATAAAGCATAATAATAATAAAGAACTAAAATAATTTAATAAAGAAATCTCGTTATATTGTTTCCTACGATGCAACGTAAACAGAATATTGTGAAATAATTATCTTCACGACAAATGAAATAATTTTTAAAAAAATCACCACCCTGAGGACTTAAGCAAAATATTCAAATGGAATAAATTAACGTATAATAGTTTTATTTACAGAATCAAATTTAAGTAAAATTAATGTTTTTGAAATGAGTTACTAATCGGAATTCAATTACTAATCGGAAATGAGTTATTACTCTACAAACCAGTAATTATTAAAATCTTAAAATTGCATCAAAAATAACTGAAACAATTATTAATCGCCATTTATAGGAAATAAATGTTACACTTACATAGTCAAGACTCTAGAGTTGATTATTTTTTTATCGCGTACTTCTTCACTACACATCATTTTTGTTTACATTCAAAACCGGTTAATTCTTTTAAAAACCGAAACTCTACTCTTAATTAATTCCTCGATACCTTGAGGTTTTTTACGTCAATCGAAATAATTCAATCTTCTTTGTCGAATCCTAGGAACGAAAGTTAATGTTTTGTTTTTCTGTTCTTTCTTTGTTTTTATATGATAAGAAAACACTGCAAATCGGCGCCAATAGTTTTTTAACATTAAATATATTGCTTAACACTTATTTATCCAATAAAAATAAACGTGTGTTGTGTTTCAAACAGGTGGCAGTTTACCTAGGTAATTTTGCAAATTTTGTTTTGTCCGTTATCAATGATCTATAAATATGAATTACTCGTGGCTCTTTCGACTTATTTAAGAAGACATTCTAAGAAAGTTTTAAATAAATAGAAGAAAAATGAAATATTTAATTTTAATATTTCTTCGCTCTTAAAGAAGTTAGGAGACTTTAATATTGAATTTAGAATGGAAAAAAAATTACTTTTGTGTGCTATTTGATTTCTATAAATGCAAGTACACTACCCTAATTGACAAGAAGTGACACTTTCAATTTTTGACATTTTTTTAAATTTCTAAAGAAATACTGACAGGTTTATTTTGTAACTTAAGAGGTGCTTAGTTCATGCAATTTTTCATACATAGCAATAATATTTGAAGCTTTCGGAGGTTTGGAAGACCTACAATAAATTACGAAGGGAAACAAGTATTTTTGAACACCCTATGCCAGAAAATCAAGCAAAAAACTAATTGTTATTTTTAATAGTTGCGTAAATTTAATGCTAATAGAATCAACACAATAACAACACGTAGAATATGTTTTATCATTTGTAAAAACCTTACTCAAGTTTTTTTTATTTTATTCTTTATTTTTTTAATTATTTATTTATTTATTTATTTTTATTTTTTTATTTTTTTTGAAAACATATTACCGATTGTACTGTGAGTGAAAACCGTTTTTAAAAAGTTCAAATTTCGTTAATAAACACTAAAATTAGTTTTCATCAGTTAGAAAAACTTTATTATCATGTTCATTTGTAATGTTCTTCGTAAAAAATAATTCAAATAATTTTCACTTTCTCTTAAGGAAAGCAAATTTTAGACAATACTATTTTTAATTTCTACGAGACATTTCCAGTAAATTTTTATAAGTTACTTACACATTTTCGAATTTTGATTTCCGATGTCTATTGAAGCTTTTTTTTTTAAAAAAAAGGGGTTTTTTTTCAAAAACTTGAAGCAATTATCAAAAATAAATTTTCAAATAACATGAAAAAGTAATTTTACAACTTGTTTTAAAAAAAAGAGTTTCAAGATTTAAAATGTTTAAATTTAAATGAACTTAATTTTGAATTTATGGATTATGGATTGATCCATTAATTAAAAATCAGGCATTAATTGAAAAATGTTTTCGAACAATTACTAAAATAAAGTACACAAACGAATATATAAAAAAAATAGAAATATTTTAAAATTTGGCCAAAAATTAGTTTGAGTTCATTGTTTTCTAAATAAATATAAGCCTAATCTTTTTCAAAAAGTGGATAGAGGAAAGTGGTAAAATTACCGTACGGCTAATACCATTTCTGGTTTAAAAAAAAAACATAATTCTTGAAATAAATACCAAACAGACGGTATTTAAAGCCTTTATATGGTAGCGGCTTACCAGAAATTCGGTCTTCAAAATTATAGTTCTTATTACCACACATTTAGTAAATAATACAAAACTGAAAAGCAAATTTAACCAAATAAATGATTTTTATTCCGTGCTGTAAGGTATCATGATAAAGTTGCCAAACTTTCCTACATTTACCAAATTTTATCAGATATTATAAAACCATATTTTATTGTTAATTGTACCGAAATCATTACTAAAGAGCTTCCGTAAAAATTACCGAGATTTTTAATGTTCTATAGAGACAGAAACACTTTAAATTTTACCACATTCTGATAGTCTTTATCATACTTTTTTTCTAAATGAGCAATCAATATCGTTGCATTTTCAAATATTGTTTTTTTTGTTTAGGCAACCTATTAAATATTAAATTATGTCGAGAAAAGCAATTTCATCTTTGACATTTTAAATAAAACAGTCGTTATATAACCACTGCATTCAGAACGAGGTCTTTTGCGTAATAGAATGTATAAAAAAGTAACTAATTAATTTTCAGAATGTAAATTGAAACTTAAGTAACAACAAACTAAAAAAAAATTATATCCACTCTCAAGTTATTAAGAAAACACTTATCTGGCATCTCATTAAATCAAGCGTATCCTAAGCCCAAGATTACTCTGATAAAAATAACGTTAATGTCACGTTTTTTTTTATTCTTTTTTTTTAACAAAATGATATAAAAATAAAATTAATACACATTTTAGCTAAATGCAATGGAATTTTAAAGTAATCATAATGATTAATTTTATTTCTCGAGAACTATTTGACCGATTCCATTCCAATTTTGAATTTTACCATTTGAAATTATATAGTTTAATATGATATAAAAATTCGAGAAGCTCACAATTCAAACAATTTGTAATCATCGTTGAAATAAAATAGTATAAAATTATAAAACCTTGCTTTTTTAAGGAATTAATTTCGGATAAACAAGTTCTACAACTAAGCTTTTTATCATTCGTTTAAATAGTTCTTGAGATATGGTTACTTTTTTGGCACTTTTTTGGATATCATTATTTGGACCATTTTTCCATATTTAAGGATCAAAACTCGGAATCCATCTGAAAGGTAAATTTATTCGGTATTTTTTTATCTGACATTCTTCTGACGCATGCATTATTTTCTATCAGACGACAAACGTATTCAGTAATCCTAGTAAGTTGCTAATGTGGTGCTATAAACTAATTCTAACGAGAAAAAAAACTAAAAAATAAATTTCTTTATGAATTAAGTGAAATTATGAAGAAAACATTTATCCTTCTAGCGATGAGTTTTTTTCACATTTTGCATGTTGATTAGGCCCCAGTTTTCAGACTGTGTTGTATACTAAATCTGAGGGGAAAAAAATAAAAATAAATGAATAATCACTGAGACTCACTATTGAAACTATTCTCAATATTGGAAATATTCTCACTATTGAAAATGCTTAGGGCAATAAAATGGTAATTTTTAAATTATTCTGGAAAGCGTTTTTTGGTACATAACAAGAGTTTTTTGGTGTATAACAAGAGTTTTTTTTATTATATTCTAATTAGACTACAAAATGTTTCAGTTTATTGTGTTTTTGTCGAGTGGAAATTCGGAGAGCTTGCAAAATACTTATTTGTTAATAATATTAAGGAACAGTTTAATGTAAAAACCTTTTCCGTTTGTTAATTAACTTTTGCACTCAAGGTTCTTTCAACTGCTCAAAAACGGATGCAACAACTTAAAGTTTTCAAGAAATAATTTAATATTTACACACTTTTAAAGAGAAAAAAAACATGGTCAAAACTACCAGAATATGGTTATATTGATTGGAGCACCAAAAAACTCGGTAAATTTTACTGAAGTGCTTGGGTAATGAATTTGGAAAAATTAACAATAAAATATGTTATATAATATACGATTAAATTTGATAAAGGTAGTATAATTTGGTAATTTTATCATGATACCTTACAGCATGGCATAAGAAGCACTTATTCCTTTAAATTTACTTTTCTGTTTTACATTTTTTACTAAATGTGTGGTAATAAGAACTTTAATTTTGAAAACCAGAATTCTGATAAACCATTGCAATAATGAACGAAGAATCAAATGAATGGCCTAAATATTTTATTTAAACCATTTATATATTTTGTATATTTTTCTTTTATTGACCAGAATTACGTTTTTTTTTTAACCAGAAATATCATTACCATACAAAGCGGTAATTTTACAAGAAATTTTTCTCCGCGTACTCTTATTGGACTTGTGTGTCTTCCTATGCAAGAAAAATCTCCTAAAAAGCGAAGGGGTCTGAAAATATTATTTTTCCACAGTTTAAAAAAAATTATGTCTATGAGAGAACCCATATTTAAATCTGGTCATCTTCCCACCCCAATGAGGTACTGTACGATCTGGCCCATACCATCTGATTTATGATGGACAAAGAAATCTTTACAAACACTATTTTCTAGAAAAAATACTTTGACTGACCTCATATTTGAATCTTGCACCTTTCCTGTCATAATGCGACATTTTCTACTGCGTTCAAAATATAAGTGTTATTAAGTAATCTATTTAAGTTAATAATATGATGCTAAGATATATCAAATAGCTGGGATAGCCTTTTTGGAAGGGCACTGGACTCAAATTTGTGAGAACGGGAGTTCGAATTCCGCGAGCTGTGTAGTAAATGGTTTCTGGTGCAAGTTAAATCTGTCGGGTCACAGAGTCCTCCTTGTTCTCACAACAAATCAATACCTCTGGGGGTACTGATTTGGAGATTGATTGTTCTCTAGTTCAGGTCAAAATTACGATCTGTGGCCGAATGAATGGATGTATGAATGGGGGCGCCCTATAAACAGGAACGACATGTGGGTGCGGTAGAAGTCGAATTTTTAGCCATAGATGGCGCCACTGGAAAACAAGAACAATGGCACCCTCTCTGCCTTAATGACCGCCGACAACAGCAACAACAAACGATATCTAATGGTAAAAAAAAATACTAAATAAATTTCTGTGCAACTTTTGTTATAGTCAAACAAAATGGCCACGTAGATGAGAGTTACTACATACTAGAAAAGCAATAAAATTTTCTTTAAATGTTAGAATTTATATTTGAACAGTAAAATGTTTGTGATGAAAAAATATGAGTTTAAATGTACCACTGGTCACAAAAAAATATTACTCTGAATAACTTTCATTCTAATGATCAGAGTTTCTTGATGGCTCTAAGAGTTGACCTCAAATATGTAGTCTAAATATTAACTGAACTATGAAATCAAATGCAAAGACATACTTTCTGTAAATAAACATATCTTCTCTTAGGTGAATTTAGGTTTCTGACCTTCAAAATAAGTGGGGTAACTGTAATATGGTCCTAATAATTTAATTAAGACAGCAGTTGAATGATCGGCTCCCTTAATGTTGCTTGAGGGGAGTCGGTAAGGCATATATCAGTAATGCTAAAACTGATCTTTTTTGATATACCGTTTCTGAGAAACTACTTATGAAATCGCTTTGAAAATTTTGAGGGATATTTGAGATTATAACAGTTG